GTTTATGTAAAGCAGGACAACCAAGGTGAAGAATTCCAGTCAGGAGAGTGCACCTCCTAAACTTGACAAACTTGATTCGCGAGCAGCGGTCACCGAAAAGTACTTGATCCTGAGATTTCTTTAGGTTGCAGCTATCGAATAGTTCTCAATTCTGACAAGGGTAGCATGCTTAGCACTATCACAATAAGCCCTTAGCGTTTCATTGATTATTAGAACGAGAAATGACTTTGAAAAAGAACTGTGACTTCTGCCCGGGGAATTATCGAGAAAAAACACTGAAAAACTTGTCTTATACGACAGTGCGCTGTCAGTGCTAGTAAAAGAAGCTATCTAACTTACGATTAGCTGCCTATTTGGCGGAAGGCATATACTACATTCTGAATCAGCTTCAAACGCCGATTCAAGATTATACCTAGCTTGCGCACCATTCCGAAGCGAATTATGGGCTTTCTACTACTATTTCTACTACTTTCCATACTACTGGAAGTGTAGGAAAACTGCCTGCAGCTAAAATGCAAGAAAAAGGTGCTGGAGTATCGAAATAGCATCAAATCGTCTTTTGTACTGAGAAGGAACTCATTAGAATTGTATAAACACCAGATAATGATGACGCGTTGCCAGTAACTCGATGGACATGCCACCGCGCAGTAAAAAGCTCATAACTCGCTTCGGAATGGTGAGAAATAGCACATTTAAAACATATTTGCCTTTGCCAAAAGACCAAGCTAACCTAAATAGCTTGCCTTGTGAAGCACCAAACGGTCCCTCAGCGAGATGGTTAGATCTAGGGATATAGATTTGTGCATGTCCACCTCGGTGTATGTATATGCACACAACAAAGTCCTTTGCTTTTTCAAGTATACTACATGAACTATCCGATAGAGGAGAAAAGCTCTGCAAACGAGCCTTTAAATTTCCACGCGCAGTCCTAAGAACTCTATTCAAAATGTTTTAGTTGCCGAAAACTGAACAGTTGGTAGAAAAAAGCTGCTTTCTTTGTTTGAACGGATACTATTCATATTGCGCAATTTGCATATGTTGCCTTTTTTCATTATTAGACATAGAAACAGTTGTAGGCCAAAAGGTCGTGTTAAGCCTATACCGAATTGCTGAATCTGATACTTTGTTGAAGAAACGCTTTTGGAAAACTGAAACTTTGTGATGGTACATATAAAGACTTGAACCATACATAGTATCTTAGAAAATAACCGCACTAATTTTTTAATAACTTTTTAAAACTTTTAGTATGGGTCATCATACGCGACTGGCTTCGACACGAATTTTCAGTATGCAACATGACGACAGTAGCTTTAAAAAGGATATTATATACTCAAGCTCATATTTTTCAACAAACAAAAGGATTCAAACAAATTAAGAACCTTCAGTTCAGGCTGTTCAATAATTAGCTGACTCTTTTGCGATTCGCACTTCATTGCAATGCCTCATTTTGAAAGTTTTGTCAGTCATTTCAAAATTTACGTTATTGAAATGAGATTTCCCCATCCAAATTCCTTCACAGCTTTGTACAAGAAAATGTAGTGACAACTATTGCAAAAACCTGCTCACAAGTTATCGAACCTTGAAAAGTTTTTAAATAGCATCCTCGCACAATAATCAGAAGTTTCTACCGTAATCCCTTTAATGAAGAACGAATAGTAACATTTTTTGCACTGCAACTCTGCACTGACGCCACCTAAACTGAATAACAGTGTGCACATCTTGGATACCCGGCTACTTACTTATATGGAAGAAGCCCAGGATTGATTTGCCCGCAAGCTACAGAGATTGCAGCCACTATGTATCTTCATACGTGATATGTACGGTATGTATATGCAGATGAGAGGTCCGCCAAACTTACAGCTAGCTTATTTCACGTGGCTAAATATTACACAATTCAACTTGATGTAAATCTCAAATTATCTCAAATTATGTGGATAGTTGAAAGCATCTTGAAATTTTGCAAACCTTACTTCTAGTACTACACTGCTGCATAAGTTCTGTCCGATCTGATTTTTTTTCAATTCATAATATCACAAGTTCTTTCATAGTTAACATTTTCCATGATTTTAGTTTCCTTTGTTGAGCAGTTCTTTGGATATCAGAGAAATATAAAGAATTGCGAAGAATCCTGCTAAAGAAAAAGCAACGACTTAAAAACTTCGCAGCATTCTTCTTATAGCTGTTTTTTGACGTGGTAATGTTCCCTTAGGAGAGCAGACAGCAATAGATGGAGAAACTTTCGTAGATTACATACGACCTGAAAGATCCCATAGAATCCTTAGTCCGAGAGATTTTTTTCTGACCGAACAAAAAATAAGCCACTTTTGACCCCGCTCCAGTAGATGTGTGCATGCCCATTTACAAATTAATAAAATTTTACACTTGATGCCAGCAGTGAAAAGGAATTGATAGATGGGCCACGCTGGGTGCGTAGCAAGTGGTACCTAGGCAGCTGACTGCTGTCGCAGCCAGCGCCAGAGCTGCCGGCAAAGCCGCTACAGATGGTACAGTAACCGGTCGTCGTCTAAAACTCCTGCCGAGAGGTTTTCTCGCACCTCGCCCTCTGAGGTGCGATGCCTCATGAAAGCATGATATCCTCAATATCTATATCATTTTAAACAAAATAATTCATATTTTTGGTAAACATGCAAATAAACAAAGATAAACAGAGGAGGTTTTTTAAAGGAAGTGACCACAAAATCAAACCACTTCCAAAACTCAAAGGAAGCAGAAGTTAAAAAAATTAAGAATTCTAAAATTTGTAGAGATTTTACGTCGAAGAACGGACAAGAACAGTTACAGGAAAAGTCATGGATATAACGGTCAGAAAACTGTCAAAATGATTATTCCATACATAATGATATTAAGCGAGTTAAATAAGGCAAAGCAGGTCAATCAGATGAGTAGGTCAATGATAAAAGATGAAAATATGTCCATCCACTGATATAAAAGGGAATGTATATCATCAAGAAACATGTAATATTTTAATCTACACATTTCACTTATCCAAAGATTTTGAGAAAATAAAAAAAAAATAATGAAAAAAATTCAACTCGTTGCAAGATAATAAAAGTTCAAAGTTGAGAGGACTACCTCTGAACACCGTGAATTTAATTTCTAAAAATTCTTCATTGGAAAATTAAGCATCTTCAAAACTACAGAGTCAATGGACATTTATTGTACTTTGATTAAAATTTGTAACAGAAAGAATTGTTTGAGATTTCCTATTCATTCATTTTGTAATAAATTGTGATATGAATACTCTCCGGTGTATTTTTATACTCGACTGCATGGTTCTCAATAAAATGACATTTCTTGCTGTTCAAAATAATATAGATATCGAGGATATCACGCTATCATTGACCTTGAATTTGATTATCTTACTTTGCCTTTAGCTCGCTTAGCATCAATATTTATGAAATAATCATTTTGACAGAGTTTTCTTAACAGAAAAAATTTAGAAATTTAAGAAATTCTAAAACTTTTAGCTTCTGTTTTCTTTGAGTTTTTGAAGTGTTTGATCTTGCGATCATTTTCCTTTAGAAAAACCCTCCCCTTTTTGCCTTTGTTTATTTGCATCTTCACCAAAAAATGATATAATACCAAGGATATCATGCTTTCCTGAGGCTAATATCGCACCTCAGAGCGGCGATTTGCGAGAAAACCTCTCGGCAGGAGTTTTAGACGACGAGCGTAATTACTGTAACATCTACAGCGGTTTTGACGGCACCTCTGGCGGCTAGCTGCGGCAGCAGTCGGCTGCCCGGGCACCACTTGCACTCCTCACTCCTCTCCGCTAGCTCTTGTTTCATTCTACCATCTCCAACTTTGGATTCATCGATTGCCTTTATTCGCAGGAAGTTATTGCTTGTAGAATATATATACAAAAAATTATTGTTCGATAGCAAATTTTACTAGCAGGACGTTTTCTTCATGCGATTGAGGTTGTGCATATTACAGCTTATTACATCTTTATAAGGCAGTTAATGAAAGGACTCGACTTGAAGGGCGCATTATGGAGACCTTTTTGCAAGAACATTCTTCTTAGGTAGTATCTCGGCCACGTGGAAATCTTGGGCCTGCAATCTCGTGAAACTGAGGAATTTATTTAAAGTTTTTTTTATATCAAAAAGAGCAAGAAAAGCGCTTTCCAATGATACGAAAATTAACACCTTAGACGTGAAATCCACTTACAAGGAGAGCTTGTTTAGTCGAAGTGGCCTTTTTGAATGGGATTTGCACCATGTTGAAGGGCATAAAACGTTGATTTCAGACCTGCCTTCCGTATCTGCAGAACGTTTACGGGCGGGGAGTTATGAGCGGTTTTTGGAGCGAAAAATTGAAGTGTTTGAAATAATGAGTGCAAAGTCTTAGTAGGCCTCAAGTAATGCAACCAAGTGTATATTTTTTATTTTAAAGTATTTTATGAATAGAGCCTCTGATGATTATCACTGCTACACTGACGAGCTAGAAAAGGTATTACGGCTATTTTTGTCCCACTTGCACAATCAAGTTTTTGCTCCAATAAGCGCTCATAACTCCTTGTCCATAGACGTTGTGCAGATAAGGAAGACAGATGTTCCCATCTAAAAAGGCCACTCCGACTAAACCACCTGCTTCCCTTATTGGAATTGCTGCTTCAAACATGAAGTAAAAAAGTCGGAGAACTTATGCACCAGCGTAGTATTGCTTTTTTGCGTAATATAAAGTGTTCAAGCACGGTTACTTGATGCATATTAGCTAAATATTGAAATTTCTTGCGCTTGCCTTCAAAGCGTTTTTATGAACTTCGGCTGTGGGGTGTCTGCCGTAGCTTGCAATCAATCGTTTTGCTAAAGTGTGTAAGAGTTTGTCTTATGTGTCGTTGCCTAGCTCTGGTTGAAAATATCCACTGCCCTGTTAGCCACATAAATCTACGATAGCAGTTGGTTCGAACCACAGAATGCTGTTATTTGTAGTTATAGTAGATAGATCTGTCGTTAGATTAGTCGTGGTTTTACCTGAAGTACTTCTTGTTTTTGGACTACGCGTTGATCGGGTCGATACAGTAACCGTATTTGGGCTGCCCGTTGCCAGGGTCGATTCAGTGAAGTGCCCTAAAAGCTTGCAGGTAGAAACATTTGCGTTTCTAACAGCTTACCACCAAGTTGAGCAATCCTTCTGGGGATATCCTGCTCTTTTCCTGCCGCATTCTCATTGTTAAGCCCATATAACTCCGCAAAATCACTGGTGAATCGCGTGTTCGAGACAATGAGACTTTTTTTGAGAGCTCCAGAGCTTCGCAGTTTAGCAACAAACTTGCTCACATCCTGGTCATCTTCTCTGAAGTTGTTTCGTTACACTATGTGCTTCATGCTCTGCAAAATTTGGAGATAGATACGCTTCTCCAACTTCTTTTCGGCATACGATGCAATCAGTCGCAAAGAACTACTTTATTAACTCCTTCCGCTAGCCAACGCCATGCGTCCTTTTCCCACCGTAGAAGTGTCGCAATGGATTTTACTACCTACCGGAGTGTTGGACGCTATCTAGACCCTGAAGATATCCGCGGCTATAGGACCAAATCACCCCGTCGAACTTTAGCAAGCCGGAGCACTCTACGCGAGATTCTTACCCGCGGAAGAAATAAAAACTTCACAACATTGGAGAAATTCAAGAAAAGACCTCCACTTCAAGAGGGACGAACGGTAGCATCTTCGGAACTACCGTTCAATATGCTTAATGAGAGTGGTGTACAATCTTTTACAAAGATCATCCTTGTTCGCATATCAGGATGAAGCACGCCCCAAGGAGAAGTTGGATCTCGCAAAGATTTCAGCTGCGTGACCACATTCAGGCTGTTTCGAAGGTGGTAGAAGTTTGTCGGGAATACTGCCTGTTTCTTGTCCTAACCTTTCTCATATAAGAGAGAGCCTTTGACAGCGTCAAAACCATACCATCCTGTCTGCGATAGTCGATGAAGAAGTGGGCTCAGGGGCGTGTTGTAAGGACCGTACAAGTTAATACAGCGATTCATTTTCCCCTGACCATCCAGTTGGGAAGGACTCAGACAAGGCGGTACTATTTCGCCGAAGCTGTTCACCGCGGCCTTGCAGTGGGTGATGAAGTCACTGGACTGGGACAAGAGAGGCATACGAGTTGATGGGAGATTCCTGTCGAACCTTTGTTTTGCGGACGTTCATCGTTCTCTTTTCAAGTATCACTGAAGCAGAGACGATGCTAAAGAAACGAATTAGATTATAATCGGATTGAGAATAAAATCGGAATAAGACTGAGTTCACGGAGAATGCGGACATGGAATTAAGGTTTATTATGAAGATGTCTTCGTGTATTCTGGACGTTCGTTCAGCCTGGAAAATTTTTGGAGGGAATGACTCAACAGGAGAACAGGAAAAGTGGGTCTTTTTGAACTTCTGAAAGAAGTGAGAGAAAAGCTTATACAGGGTGTCCCAAAGAGATGTGCACACTATTTGATCGTTGATAACTCTCCTGCTTTCATGTCTTTTGCCGAGTTTAAGGTGCCATTTTGTAGAGCGAGGTTTAACCTAGATTTGCTATGTGAAACGAATGATCGATTGCTCTTCATCACTTTGAGATTACGGTAGAACTTCCGAGGAGGTAAGCCATTGAAAGCGGTGTTTTGCCGGTATTTTGCCTCAGAAAGAAAGCCAAACAAACCAGAAACTCTTGAAGTGGGCTAATCATAGTCGGTGATTCTAGCTATGACAGCACTATACTGAAATTTGCACTTCAGTATAGTGTGTTCAATGTTCGTCAGAAATGTGAATAATCCATCAAGAAAGCTCGAAAAACTCAAGAAAAATCATGTAGTGAAATCAGCACGGAAAACCTTGCCACACAAGTTCAGATTTTTCCGAAATTATTTTATCAAAAGGCCTATTCCACAGTGACGCGGTGGGCTGAAAGTTCTTACCTAATCCTACAGTAATGAAGAATGATTGGTGATTCGCTCCATACTGTAGGTCTAAGTTGGACCCGCTCTACAGAATGATACCTCAAGCTCAGTAAAAGACATGAAAGAAAGAGAGTTATTAACGATCAAACAGTGTGCACATCTTTTTGGGACACTCTGTGTAACCTTCGACTTGAGGTGCGTCGCATTTTTCATGATTTCAGTACATCTCTGATCTTATGGTACACATGCTTAGCATTGTTGCTTTAGATCAACAGTATAACTTTGAAATATTTTCGCTGACTTTTAAGGAAGAAAAGCTCAAAGAAAAGAATGTCGACCGCTGTGGATCATGAGGGTATCATAGAAAAAGCTGGAAAATGCGGTTTGCGCAATTCTTCTCTCCTGTGTAATATGTCTGAATCGTAGGATAGTGAGAATATATAAGAGCAAATAAACAGGGTGAAATCTAGACATCCTGAGCTTTAGGATGTGCAGCTTTCTTTTAAGCTGCGATCCCCTTTCCGGCGGGATGTTAATGCATGCGGCCCTACAACCACTTGCATAGATTCCTCGCGATTCCTTAAAAATATCGTGGATGCCAGAAGAGGACAGGAAACAGTTAAAAATTTTGTGATGGGACCCACAGCCGTTAAAAGAGTAGCTATCCAAGTACCTGACTGAATAGTAGACTCGGTTGCGTAGCAAGTGGTACAGGGGCAGCCGAATGCTGCCGAAGCCAGTTATGGAGCTGCCGGCATAGCCGCTGCAGACGGTAAGTTGAACTTGTCTTCTAACTCTTGCAGAGAGGCTTCCCCGCACCTTGTCGCGCTGAGGTGAAAATAACAACCTCAGGGGCTTGATATCCTTGATATACAGGGTGTCCGTAAAGTATGTATACACTGTTTGATCGTCAATAATTCTTTTCCCAAGAAGTGTTTTGCCTTGCTTCAAGTACCATTTTGTAGAGCTGGCTTCAACTTAGACTTACAGTATAGAGCGAATCGTCTATCATTTTTTTTTACTGCGGGATTACGGTAGAAATTTGAAAGAGGGTTTTAAGCCATGAAAGGCCATATTTTGCCTCAGAAAGAAGACAAAACAGCCTGAAAACTTTTACACCAGGCTAATCAGAGTTGCTGATTCTAATTGTAAAGCTCCCAACTTATTGTGATGCTTCACTGAAGAGTTATACCAGGTAAGAGGTAGCGGCCATTTTTTTCAATGTTCCTAAAAAGTGCGGTTGCACCGTTTAGAAAGCTTCGCAATCTTGTAAAGTTGAGTATTGAACTCAGCGTCCATAAAAACCCTATCACACAAGTTTTCATTTTTTTTTTGAAAAAATTTGCAACTGTAGCTTTTTCCACATTGACACCATATGTTTCAAGTTTCTACCGTAATCCTACAGTAATGAAGAGAGATGGGTGATTCGTTCTATACTGCAAATCTAAGTTGAAGCCAGCTCTACAAAATGGTACCTGAAGCAAGGCAAAAGACTTCTTGGGAAAAGAGATATTAACGACCAAACAGTGTATACATACTTTACGGACACCCTGTATAACATTTTGAATGGTAAAAATTCATAATATCTGAGAGTCATACAATAAACAGAGCTATATAGCTAGAGAAGAGTTTTTCTAAAGAAAAATGGTCTCAAAATCAAACCGAGTACCCAAAATAACTAGAAGCTGAAAATTCAGGAAATCTCAATTTCCAAAAGCTTTTTTTTCACTTCCAGCGTCGCAGAACTGAGACGAGGTCAATAAGAAAATGTCATAGATATTTTATACATCTGCCAACAAGAGCCTTAGGCTGAACCTTACGTGGGTTCTAGTTTTAAATTTGAGAAATTTAAAAAAATAAGTTTAATGTCTAGAAATTTTTCATTGAAATAAGTTAAACATCCTTGAATGAGTGTCAATAGACAGTTACTGCATTTCAATGTCAAGATTATCACCAGAAAAAACTATTTGATTCCATTTTTTCCTTTTTGTGAGTGCTGATTTTTTTGGAATTTTTCCGGTACGGTTTTGAATTCGATTACATGGTTCTCAATAAAATATAATTTTTTTGCTGTTTAGAATAATATAGATACTGACAAGGGAATGGTCAGAAGTCGAAGTGGCCAAACCAAAGAAGCTGTATACCATTCGATGCAGTATAAAACACTGACTTCGAATCTGTCTTCCTTATCTGCTTCCCGCTTCTGTGGACGAAGCCACAAATGGTTTTATTGTGAAAAAAATCATACATAAAAACAGCGAAATTGAGCACATTGTTGCACTTTTAGCTCAGCTTCTAGCTTTAAAAATTTTAGGTAAGCTAGCTGCATGTTTTGGCCCAGCATTGAGGCGAACGTGGCTCTGTACGGCTAAATTTTCAATTTTCATAATTTCTTAGCAAAATAATGGTCTTTAATGGCTTATAGCTTCGTCCAGAAAAGCGATAAGCAGGTAAGGAAGACAGATTTAGAGTGAGCGCTTCATGCTGCATCTAACGGTACCCAGCTTGTCTGGAATGGCCACTTCGATTTCTGAACATTCCCTTGTGAGGATATTACGATATTTCTGCGACTGATGTCGCACCGCAGCGCGACTACGTACGAGAAATTCTCTTGGCAGGAGTCTCAAACGACGAGCGTAATTACTTTACCATCTGCAAAGGCTTTGCCGGCAGCTCTGGCGGCTGGCTGTGGCTGCCGGGTACCACTTCCAGGCCTCCCAGTAAACTCTGCTGTGAGGAACCTTTTTCAGCCGTTCTATTCATAGTCAGCGGATGACCAGACTTGCATTTAAAAAAAACTTAGAGATCGAACGTTTGCAGCTTCACTATGATTTAGATAAACTGCATTTGTTTCTCTTTTCTGTAGAGCTTGCGTCAATATATAACGCTATGAGTTCTAGGACGTAGATGTTGGACCTTTTGCATCCAGAAATCTCACATTTTTCTCAAGTGTATCACAATCGAGACGCTTTTGTCAACCTATCTCTTCATGAGTGGTCAGTTCTTATATGATTCCTATTTGTTAATCTTCCAAGATGCCTCTTGGTTGTTAAGATACTCCATGTAGAGATGAGCTAAGCATACCGTCTTCCCATAAATCTTGCATTGCATGTTAAAATAAAAATGTATCGCCGCATTTGCTCTTTCAAACTTTTACATAAGGAAAACTCACCTATAGTCGTAATCGCATGGAATGTAGAAGACAAAAAGATCATCATCGTTTTTCTTGCTTGTATACTCGTTGGCAACTCTGTAATCATACGGTGGACTCAAGAACACATTCATTTTCATTTCTTGTGAAAAGTCCGGGAAATGGCAAAATATGGGGTGTTCGTATAATTATGAATTATTAGGGTGATTCAAAAGTAATGGGGCACCTAGAGAATAAATGCAGTTTTCTCAAATAGGAAAGCTAATTGGAAGTCCTAGTTTTGCAGATGTTAGTACATAACAAAACCTTTTGATCGAGGTCTATAGTTGTCCACTGTCACATGGTGTTATTTTTATAATCGCGTAAGATTAAAGCTCATCACTTCAAGTAATTTTGAACTTTGAGCAGCAGTGCCGCAGTAGAACAAGTGAACCTACCAAGGATATCTGCGCAGCAATGGGTGAGGGGACTGTCACCAAATCCACGGTAGATTGGTGGTCCTAACGCTTTAGAACAGAAGATATAGCATTAAGTACAAGGAGACATATTACTTATCCTTTCATCAAGGTATTCGAATAAGCTCAACCTTAGCAGCTGTTTTCTGATAGCGCTTTCTACGCTCTATCCATACATATTCAAATCACTTCGACTTTTCTCATTTTCAAAAAATTGTAAGCCAAAACATATATTTTAGTCTGAAAATCTGCGCAGAACACCGCACTTTTCCGAATAAAGTGCCTTTTTTGCATGAAATAATGGGCAATTTTTGAATATTCAAGTAATGGTTAGAAAGAACATCGTAAGCTCTTTCGAATGGTATGCCATATGTCGAGGTACTCTCAGGTGCAGCAGGCACAAATTCGGATGGCGTTCAAAAAAGTCTGTCTGACTTCTTTGAAGCGCCGCTTGAAGGAAAGTCGGTAGGTGCTGCAAGGTCCTGTCATGATAACCTGCGGAGGTCACTTTATAGAAAAGCGTTCAAATTGCTGGTTGTTCATAGCTAAGCAGAAGAAGAATCTCGAAGAATGTTAAAAAAATCAAGGTGCCCCATTACTTTTGGATCACCCTAATATGAACCGATCTTTATAAATTGCACTATTTTTTGCGCAAAACTTCACTCACGATTCTTGAGTGTAGGATGATCCCGCTACATGTGCTACATTAACAAGATGTTCAAGAGCTTCCGTAGCGTCCATTGGATCTGTCGTGTTTATACCATCAGAATAAAGAATGAACCCATAACGTTGATCCACATCCTTCATTGCTAATATTGCCTCTCGAGTGTTTCGCTTATTCTGTGAAAATGGATTTTTTCTTAAGGATGTTGAACAATCATACTTTTCCATCGCCTTTTTTTCAAAAGAAAAAACGACTTCTGATAGTGGAAGGAAAGTAAGCTAGTAACTTGCACGAGCGCATATTGTTATCTGTGAGCGTCGATATATGAATACAAGATTGGGGAAAGTAGCCGCTGCTTCAGGTAGTAGGTATCAATCATGGCCAAAAGCTGAATGAGATTTAAAAATAAAAAGCTCACTAACGATACAAGAAGGAGCATCAATAATCAAGTATGTATAAAAACATGAGTGAATTTTTTGCCCTACCGCCTTAGCGCGGATTGCTGTAGCGTCGCGAAAATTTCTAATTGCCACGTAACGTTATTTAGCATTCTTAGCAATTTATGGCGAATGTTTCATTTAATGAAAGACATCGGACGATTTTGAGTGATGAAGAAGCCTTTCGCAGCGGTTGTCTATTTGATAGTTAAGTAATTGACATTTCAATGTGGTGGGACTTACGTTGCTTATCCAATATGAACTTACCATTTCAATGCACTCGCTTTCTCCAAATTTCTCTCTTGTGAGCGTCCAAGAAACACGTTCATTGTCGCCGAGATGCATTGCAAAATACATGATAGGTGATCCATCTGTAAATACTACATCACGCTTAATATATTGAGTATCATCTGCTTAGCGTAGCTGCTCAGCAAAAAAATAAAATCTCACTTTTATCTTTTTTCCCAGGAAGTATGACAGCAAAAACAACTGCGATTATGGCTAGCACTAAGACTATGGCAATACCGATTGCCCACTTACAAGCCTTGTTCATCCCTTAAGCTCATATAGAGCGTCTGAGAATTTTTCTAAGCATAAAGAAGTCGAAAAAGGAAAGCATTAAATCATTAGAACAGTCAGTTGAAGGCTGTAATCGTGTCACATCATTAGATTATGTACAGATGAGTACTGTTTATGACAGGTCGAAATCAAAAGTTGATAAGCATGGGAAAGATTATGCACTGTCTTTTTTTTGTAGTGTATTTTAAAATTATGCGTCACACTTGCCGGTGATACGTCTTCGCATCCCTGTAAAAACAAGTTTATTTATAAAAGCCACATCAAAACTTAGTAAAACCTTATTTAAAAAGTGCTGAAGGCTATGTTATGTGAGTATAGTCCTGTTCAGATTGAAGTGGTAAATCGAAACTAAATTTTCGAACCGTTTCGAGAAGATTATGACTTTCAATACTTGATTCCATGAATGAATTCTATGTGATCGGTACTTGAAGTCTTACACTCTTAACAATGTGATACGAATTGGTGGGACTTTCATGCTTTAAAATTCGTTTGCTTAAGGCCTCGGACAGAGTTCACGCGATTTGATCGTCGCGATTCAGTCGCTAAAAGTGTTACGAGTTCATTGCACGCATGCCAATCTTTTTGTAGTTCGGTTGTGATAGCCAACACGACTAATCGCGGCTAACTATCACAACCGAAATACAAGAAGATCGGCGTGAAATGAACTCGTAACACTTGTCTTTAGCGATTGAATCGCGACGATCAAATCGCGTGAACTCTGCCCGATGTCTAACGCATCAACTTATCATTCCTTAGTAATGAAAGAGAATCAGTTGATTATAATGCCTGCAATCTAAGCAAAGCCATTTTAATATTGTTGGGTGGAGTAATAATTCTTATGCGCCATATCTAGTTCTTAGTTCTGGTCTAGTTCTTGCCTGTTCTTTCACGGGTGTCTAAGAAATGCGACAGACGTAGTTACTTCCAACAATGGGGACTTCAACTAGCTATAATTCTGAGGCATTCTCACTTGCTGAAGTTTACAAGATTTGTGAAACTACAAGAATAATGATTGCAAGTATGATGGTAAGTCAAGATATGTGAGGCAGCGTGAATTTAGTTGCTATTCAGGGCAGGTATGACAGCAGTGCTTGATTACAGATGCCCAGAAGTGGACTTTAATATTCAATTGCTATCCATTGTGGGACTATCGAGTAAAAAACGAAGTTCAATTGTTAATGCGATTAGATAACAAACAGCCGCTTATGGGTGTGTATGAGATTCTAAAAGTTGCTTTTATGTATTTTGTGTGACTAAGACAGGACTTATCAGTGGCAGCCGCGAGTTGATAGAAACGCCAAGTAGTTAAGAAATTTGTGGAAAAAGTAGAGCAATGCATTTTATGTGTGAACAAAGAGTAAAATAGTATTATGGATCTAGCAAATTTGAACTTCACTGTTTTCTTTGATTGTGCAGTACCATCACATGACAATAAAAAGGACGCAAGTTTGACTATTGCACTTTGCCAGGTCGTTTTAGCATCGTTCTAGTCAGCTTTGGGTAAAACGATATTTGACAATATTTATGCTTCAGGTCTGATAAAAGTTTTGTCAGTTTTCTGGAATGAACCGCAAATTTCGTACAGTTAGGATAAGCAAACACTTCAGGCTACATACAGGGTGTCCGTAAAAAATGTGCCTACTGTTTGATTGTGAATAACTCTCTTCTAACGAAGTCCTTCGAGAAGCTTTAGGCACCATTTTGTAGAGCGAGGTTCAACTTAGATTTGCAGTATAGAGCTCTTTTTATTACTGTAGGATTACGGTAGGAACTTCGACAAGGATTTTAGGTCTTTGGAGGCCATAATCTGCCTCGGAACATAACCAAACAAGCCGGAAATTCTTACACTATGGTAATGGAAGCCGCTCTTTTCGAATATGAAATTTCCACTTTACTGTGGTGCCTCTTTCCTAAGTTACCCCAGGTGAACCGTAATAATTGAATTTCCAGCATTTTTCAGAAATGTGATTACACCGTCAAAAAAGCTGAAAACACCCGTAAAAAGTTGTGTAGTGGAATCAGCGTGCGCGAAAACCCTAGTACACGATTTTTCAGATTTTTTGAAAAAAATTTTGTCAGGCGGCATATTTCACGATGGTTCCATATGCTGAAAGTTCCTACCGTATTCGTACAGTAATAAAACGAGCTCGGTGATTCGCTCTATACTGCAAATCTAAGTTGAACTTCGCTCTACAAAATGGTGCCTAAACCTTCTCGAAAGACTTCGTTAGAAGAGAGTTATTCACAATCAAACAGTAGGCACATTTTTTACGGACACCCTGTACAATGCAGAATTTTCTTTCTTTCCTAATGCTACATTTCCAGGGTTCGATGAGAACGTACTGAGATAATCACTAGAAATTACAACCCTTCGTTTTCACCATGTCCAGTTTTCGCTTATTTTCGCAACTTTTGTTAGATACTTTTGGGGAAGCTTTAGAAGCCAGCACACAGGGCAAATTTTTTGCTAACTGAAGCTACTCGTGGCTTGTCTTCCTAAATATTTTTTGACATATACTTTCAAGTAACCAAATTTTATATTCGGCCTATTCTGACCTAATAAAACATGAAAATTTAAACAGTTTAGGTACACTTTGATGCACCTTTTTCTCCTCAATCTAATAGTTGTTTCCCCTCAATTTAACAGTGCAACGAAAATCAGTATTTCTCAATTTTACGAGGCGCACTGACGAACTCTAAGTTTCAAATGAAAGGTTTGCCGTACCTGCTGGCTACTAAAGCAGTCATTTTGAAAAACTGACAATACTTTTGATGCAGTATGCATATATTAGATGGGTCCGAAAGTTCTGTCGTTTCATTTTTAGAGATTTGTAACTTCGCGAAATTTCAACGGATTTGCTTGCTTGTAATTTTGTTAGAAAGAGTAAGTATTTCGCTTACAAATACTGTTCCGTGGAGCTTCTGTTTCATACTGGGTGCGGAGATAAAAATGAAAAACTAAGACCATATAAGCTTTGTCCATTTTAAGTTAGGTCACCAAAAATCTGGAATGCTGCAGAAAAATCTGAAATCATCAGTACATATGTTTTTTCGCCTCCTCTTTGTAGCTGTGAAGAGTTTGTGCTATTTGGACGTCTCTGTAAAAAGTTATGATTTTCGCGAAAATTGACAAATTAAATAATTTTGGCGTTTTCTATAGTAAACTCGATATTCATAACTTCTCACAGAGACGTCCAAACAGCACAAGCTCTTCACAGCTGCAAAAAAAAGGTCAAAAAACAAACGTACTGCCGATTTCAGATTTTTCTGCAGCATTCCAGATTTTTGGTGACCTAACTTATAATGGTCAAAGTTTATATGGTCTTAGTTTTTTATTTTTATCTCCGCACTCAGTGTGAAACAGAGGTTTCACAAAAAAGCGTTCGAAAGAGAAAGGATTATTCTTTCTAATAAAACTACAAACAAGCAAATCCGTTGAAATTTCGCGAAGTTACAGATTTTCAGAAATGAAACGACAGAACTTTCGGACCCACCTAATAATTTCATATTGCGATTTCGACTAGCCTGGTTTACCAGTTTTTGGCTTGTTGATTTTCTTAAGGTTAAATGTGTTTCATAATGGTTCAAAATCTCATAGTTTCTACCGTAATCCTATAAGCACAAGAATGGTTAATGGTTCGCTCCACACTGTTGAACGAGGGAACGATACTCGGTGTCCGTGACCTTTTGAGATAAGATGTATACCATTGCGCTCGTCTTCAAACGCTGATTCCGAATCTGACTTCCGTTTCTGCTAACCGCCTCAAAGATATTATGATGGGCCGCGCGGAGTTTGGCTGCCCAGCGAAATATGCTCGGAGCACCAATGCTAACGTTGCGATGTGGTTTAGTGGTTAGTGCGATAAGCTCATGAGTCGATGCAGGTGTAGGTTCGAATCCCTCTCTGTTTTTTAGTTTTGCATTGCCTCATTTAACCTTCATTGGCATACTCGAGGTAACTAAACGTCCTTACTCTTCAAAAAAGGGTAGATTTTGAATAAATGATTACTGTTTGCGCTAAAATGTATCGAATGACCATAATTTGAGTGAATGTTCTCGAACGAGTGAGGCAATGCAAAGGTAAGAACACAAAAGGATTTGAACCTACACCTGCGTCAATTTATGAGGCTATCGCACTATTTACTACACCTGAACGTGGCCGCGGTAGAGGAAGTTCCAATGACCATATTTCCCTTGGGCGGCCAAACTTGGCTCAAAATTCGCCATAACTTCTTTCAGAGAAACGATTAGGAAGTCAGATTCAGAATCAGCGTTCGAAGACGAATGTAACCTTTATGCATCTCGTCTCAAAAGGCCATGGACATTAAGTATCGTTCCCTTGTAAGCAAGGAGGTTCAGTCGAAGTGGCGTTTTCGCATAGGTTGTATACGATAATGAAGAGCATAAAACGCTGATTCCAAATCTGAGTTCCATATCTGCGGAACGTTCTTGGGCGAAAAGCTATAATACGGTAAACCGATTTGTCAAAATCTTACTAGCCCCTTGAACAAAGCAGTCAAGGATATTTTTGTTTTAGAGTATTTATCAAATAAGGTGCTTTGATAATCATCATCCCTCCATTGAAGCGCTAGAAAGTAATTTTACCTATGTTTTTGTCCTACTTTCACTCTCAACTTTTTGTTCATATAAACTCATAACTCCTCATCCACAAACGTTGCGCAGATAAGAAAGGCAGATTTGGAATCAGCGTTTCTTACTCTTTATCACCGTACACTTTTCATTCGAAAAGGCCACTCCAGCTATTTATGCTGGAGTGGCCTTTTCGAATGAAAAGGCCACTCCAGCATAAATAGCTGGAGTGGCCTTTTCGAAACCTGCTTCTAAGTTGAAGCCTTGTGTACCGAATGGTACCTAAAAATCGGCGAAACATTGAGCGGGAGAGTTAATAACGATTAAAAAGTGTATATATTTTTTGGAATATTCTGTATTTCAGTAAGTCTGGAGAACACGCCAAAATATATAATTTATAAAGTTGCTTTGCAAAAGGT